GAATGATAATGGCAACAAATGTACACATGTGCTTGACAATGGATGGATGGATTTTGATAAGGGTTGTACGGGACCCCAATAAAATGATTTAAAAAAACAACAACCAAGAAAACAAAACAGAACAACAAAAAGCTATTAATCCAGAAGTATTGTTAAGGAACAGTATGAAGAGATGGAGAGAGCGATTAGCCTGTTTTATGTATAACCATTTAAAGAGAAATGTAGCATGATGTGACTTTCATGTAACAAATCAGTAGAAACAGCTGTTACAAGAACTAACCCTCCATCTTCCACAGCAAGATGTCATCAGGAAACACCAATGCAAGCATGGGCTCTAGAAATGTGGTTATGATTACCTGAAGAAATTGCTAAAAGTTAATAGTGGATACTTCTGAGTTCTGGGATTTGAAGCAGAGTTGGGACAAAGCAGAGAAATGTGTTTACTATACATCTTCATAAACACTATTTGATGTTTTATACCATGCAACACATTAAACAAAAATCCCGTTAATTTTTTAGAGGCAAAGGAATATCAGCCAGGTGATACGGAAGATTCTGTTTACCTAAGATTTTTTAAGAATTCTGTGCTAGTTTAATTAAGATTGACCGTGGCTCTTCTAGCCAGTCTGTAATTCCCACCAAATGCCCTTTCCCTGCATGGGTCTGGTAAGAAAGTCAGGGAACATATTAATATGATTCACCTGTGAGTAATTACTAACAGGCTTCCCAGGAATGCCATCCTACCATGTATAAAATGAGCTTTCTGAGAAGCAGGAGGAGGAAATCTCATTACAAGCAAGAGCCAGAGTGAAGTGTGATGCCTGGATTTGAAATCCAAGTAGTGAAACTGAGTCCAGTAGACAGCTATAACATCAGAGCAGCAGCAGAACCAGGACCCAGAGCATGGAACACAGGGGTGGAATTCCCAGCCAAAGGAGCAAGTGAAAAATCCCTGCTTTTGTGCAGAAGGCTGGCAGAGTGGGGTGCCTCAAGGAACTTAATTGGGGCAGTTGAACTTATGCAAGTGGAGCTGGGTGCCTTTGGGCTTCGGCTTACTGGAGTTGGGTGCCTGTAGGCAATACAGGAGGTTGGGCTTGTTGACCCATCGGAGTTTAAGATGAATGCTTTCAAGGTTTAAGCTTATAGTTCTGTGATATGCCATTTTGGGTATTTATTAGCAGACTTGACAGAACTACATAGTATGTCTGATAAATATCTCAATCCGGAGCATTTCTCACGGACATTACAACTTCCTTAATAAACCCTTTAAACATAAATTTTATGAGTTCCGTGTAACTTTTGCAATGGATATTAGAACCTAGAGGTAGAATGGAAAACACCAAGATATTGCACTCTATCTTGCCATAAAATTGAACATCTCCACAACTTATTCACTCAGAGGGAGAGGATATCTTCTTCAATACAAGTATTCTACTGACAAAAAAATTTACAGTGATTTCCCATGGTATGTCGCTCAGTTTTTTTAAAAGTTTATTTTAGGGAACTGTACCTGTTAGGATGGTCTGTCACCACAAGTTGAGCTTAAATACAATGGTTGGTATAAAAAATTTGATTTTGGTCAACTTTTTAATAATTATCCCAGCTTACAAGTCACTGTAAACTCACTGGTTAAATAAACAGCTCATACTAGAGTCTAGAAAGCACCTCACATTAGCTGTACATGCAGCAAGTAAAATACATGGTACTTATGGCAGATATTTCTCTTCAAAACTAAAAATATGACTTCTTGTTTTCCCTAAAGGGACTAAATATTAGAATCTTGGTATCCTGGAAGCAGATACTAACATCAATGAAATGCTTCATGTTCTGATACAGGGTATGTACTTGTTGATGTTAAAGAGTAAGTAGTGGGCAATGAATGTACAAATGTGCTTTACACAACTGATGTATGTATGGATTGTGATAAGAGTTGTATGAGCCCCTAATAAAATGATTTTAAAAAAATAAAGAGTAAGTAGTGTGTTGGGGAGATGAGGCTTTCTATTCCAGTAAAGAATTAACACTCAAAACCCACATGGGCAGTTCTACTCTGTCCTACAGGGTCATTACGAGTCAGAATGGACTGATGGCAGTGAGGTTAGGGCAAGAAAATGAAAGAGTTGTTGAAGCAGAATCAAAGAACTTTTAGAGACTCGTCTTAGGTAAAGCAAGCAAGCTTTGGCCAAAAACAGCTTAGTGGAATAACCATTTCAGAAACTTTAAGTGGGTGACTAAAGCATCAGGAAGGTGAGAAGATACCTCCCCAAGTTTACA